ATTTCAGCATTTTCCATTGAGAGAGATTCAAGTTGATTACCAAGTACAACTGCCGCCCCGGACGACGTCTCTGCCCAACTCAAAGTCAGGGGAAGCTTTATACTACATCTTGACAAAACATTAACTTGTTGATTTAGCAAATACAGCAAGAAAATGAACAATACTGCTGACCCAGTGCACCTTATCATGGGTGGGAACATGCCACGGGGACCACATATGTCAGTTTTTCTGCTTCGTGGCATCTCAAAGTCCAGAAAAACATGTTCTTTATGACACTCCAAGTACAGAAAAACATGTTATGTAGACCTATAGATAATCATACGTGTTTTCCACCCTGTTGTCATTCCAAAGTCCATAATATTGGGTGAATTAGCATGAACAACATAATATTTCCCACACGGTCTACGTGGGCGAGTCTCCAGCGTTTCACCGCTGCTGATATCACCGTGATTTTAGTGAATTTGCATAAAGAAAAACAAAAAACCACCACTTCACTCCAGGTTAAAAAAGCATTGTGACACACGATGTTGACATTTGTACCAAGTAAAATATTAGAATTTTTTTCCCTGTAATGTCACATTACTGTGTTACAGCAGAAAACAACACATTACAGTAATGTGTTACTTTTATAACACGTTACTCCCAACACTCATTATTTCTTTGTATTATTCATGCACTTTATAACAGTGAAAATACTGACTGTCCCCGTCAGTTAAAACACGACGTGATGTGTCACAAAGATGAGAAAAAAAAAAGGCCAAGAATAGAACAAGCGCTATTCAAAGTGTAAATGTGTAAAAACACACACACCACAAGATGGCGCTTTTACCCAACTTACAAAATGAAAACTGATTCAGGCTCACTGTGTCTGTCATGTAGTAGTCAGTCTGGTGCCACCCAGTGTCTCCGCTCAGTTTCTTTTCTCTCCAGCTCTAGTTCAGGAATCAGAAAACACTCGCCGATTTACAAAAACCCCAGAAGTGTGAGTTCGGGCTCCAGCCAATCAGAGAAGAGACAGACATTCTGTGTTGGTGACAATTCCCCAGATCGAGGATTTAAAGCCGGAACAAAGAGAATGTTTGGTGAATTTTATCTCGGGGAAAGACTTTATTGTTCTTCTTCCTACAGGATTTGGAGCTTTACAAACATCACGACCAAACAGCAGCGACTGGTTAAATAAAAAAAGTCCCCACCTACTGTCGAGTCTCACCAAGTGAAACCGACTCATGAATGAGGCTAGTGATGTAGATCAACACTTTATTATTATTAATATTTTATTTATTTATTTTCAGGAAATAAGTATATTACATTTATTTAGAATGGAAGAAAATATCCATATGACATGAGAGCAATCAAAACAACAAACAACAATAGCAACACAAGTGCCCTAAAAAGAGTGCAAAGAGGAAACATTATTTAACCTCAACCCCTCTTGTACTTTGTCACAGTGAACTTCATTCTGTATTCTTGCAACATTTTACACGAGATCATATGAATTATTTACAAGTGCAGACAATGAGTAAAGGTTATAGGTCAGTAACACAATCATCATATGTAATATAATTAGGGCTGGGCAAAAATTAAAAAAAAATGTATCTCATTAATCGCATGAGTTCGAGTGATTAATCGTGATTAATCACATGTTATACACAAAACCAATGAATGAATTAAAAAGTAGTGTATAGCTGCACTTTTATTGGAAATGTAAATGAGAGTCAAACATTTGTTGTACAAACAGAACATTTCTTTCAGAGTTGAACTCAGAGTCTTCAAGGTTTTCTGAAGGCTCAAGAAAAAATATTGAATGAATTTTTGTACTAATATATTTTTTCAATATATTTTATTCAGTGAGTAATAAACACGACACTAGTAATAATTTCTAGATCAGTGTTTTAAATTTGGACTGATATTTCTTGGGAAACAAAGGGTTAATATAATGGAATGGAAATGGACCAATGACAGTTTTTCTTCCAGTTGTATCTGGGTAAATCACTGACTCCTCCTGCAGCAATGAACTAAACAAACAAGCTCAGCTCAGAGCCCAGGCTGGTGCAGCCGGAGCCGGAGCCGCGGAGGAACATGCGGCCGGGCTCGCGGCTCGCGGAGGCTCGGACACGTTGCATCTCACGTGGTCAGAAAAAAGTGAAAAAAGTCTAAAGAAAAGACGTCAAACTTAAAGAAACTCTCGCGGTGAACTTTTTCAAAATAAAAGCCAGTGAGAAACAGACGTTTACAATAAAATACATAAATAATAAAAACTGTGTTAATGGTGTTAAAATAATTGTCGGTGATAATGACTTAATTAGTTAATGCAAAATTAACACGTTAACGTGCCCAGCCCTAAATATAATACAACAATATGACAACAGTATATACACAAAATACAGAAGGACTCCAACAGTGGTAACAGACAGCACATACCAGCAAATGTAAGAAAACAACACAGATAAAGCTGCACTACAGAAGGAAGTATTGTTCTAATATAATGACCCTCTCTCTATGAACTGTGACCAGATCATATGTTGATGTAACAATATGAATGTGGATATTTTGACATTTTTTTAGATGTGGATCCAGACTGTTCCAGAATTTTACACCAGACCCTGAGCAATATTTTCTTTTCCATAGTTCTGACTGTGTGAGGACAGGCTGAAGACTCGTCCTGTCAGAATAAATGTTTGTTGAAACCCAAGAGAGATTTTGTGTCTTGTTTAAACTCGAGGGGAAAAACACTTTGCTTTAGTCACTGATAAAAATGATCAGGTTCAGTGTGTGCATTTACTGTTTGCATAGATCATGGTAAAGTACAATCTCTCTCTGTCTCCTTTCAGTTGTAGATCTCTGTGAGAGACATTCACCTGCAGAATCGATAGACTGTGTATTACATGTCAGAAGAACAAAAGTGTGTTTGTGTTTGTAAGAACAGGAGTGTTTAACTCCACTCTGTGTTTTACTCTGTTACACACATCACACTTCTGTCCTCAGTCTCTCTGACACTGGACACACTCTCCTCTGCCCTGGGACACACTGAGTGTGTTTACATGCACATCAATAACCCGGTTATGATCGGGTTTTTTGAGTATCCCAGTTTCTTGATGGTGCATGCAGACGCAGTATCCCGGTTTCAGTGTCCCGGTTTTGGCAGTATCCCGGTTATTAGAAACCGGGTTACTGTAGCTGGTTTATTCCGATAGTAATCGGGATACTGTGGCATGTAAACGCAGTATCCCGGTTACTGCAACATAAAGTTGTGTGCGCATGCGTCCAAAAGACACTTTCCAGTCTTTCACCGCAACAGTAGCAACATAAATAAAGTGACCAACATAAATAAAGTGACCAACATAAATAAAGTGACCACACGAATGAAATGAGTGTAAAATAAAGAGCTGCACTAAACCTGCACAATGTACAACATCTGCACTCGTGTGATGCTGAAAAACTAAAACATGAACTATCTCCTGTACAACACACACACAGAACAGACTCACCATCATCAGCACCTCTTCTGTCACAAAAACAACACACATAATCCACTGAGTCGAGTCTTTTAGTCCAAAAGAAGCTGATCAGCATCAGCGGCACGAGGAGCAGCTGTTTTTATCACCACTAACAGTTTATGCTAATTACCCACGTGGCCTTAAGTTTCGTTTCTGTAAAACGTAAACAAATGTGATCAGAGCTGAATGATCTGATCAAACGGGCTGATGTGGATCTATAGTGTTTATGGTTTATATGTTGTAAAGTTGAGTTTATTTATGCAGAAGATTTGAATGAAGAATCTGCACAGTGGATTGTGGGAGATCTCGTAGCTCCTTAGCTTCTTATGCTAAAGGAGCTCACGGTTTGTATTTTTCCTGGTTTATGAAATTGATTTAAGTTAAGTTTTGCGCTTTCGCATTTGTAAGATTATGTCAAGAAACCGGGACACTCCATTTGATCATGTATACGCGGATATGAGTGTTTCTCAGTGCGCATGTATACACAGTAACACAGCGAACACTGACAGAACAGGGATATTGATGTGCATGTGAACACACTCAATGACAGATGTGGCTGCCCTCTGAGCCAGTGCCCTCTCCCACACACACACACACACACACACACACACACACACACACACACACACACACACACACACACACACACACACACAACACACACACACACACACACACACACACACACACACACACACACACACACACACACACACCAAACCTTTAGGTCATTTTTGAGCTCTTGTTCTTCTGTTTGAGAAAGACTTCTGTGGGGTCAGAACTGTCTTCCTTTGTTTCACTTGGAGCTACAACACAAAAGTATTACAACATTATAAACTACTTCACCCACAACAGATTCTACTGAGATTTAATAGTAATACTAATAGTAGTAGTAGTAGTAGTAGTAGTAGAGTAAGAGATGGGAGTAAGTCACACTTAAGAAATTGTACTTTTTAGAATACTTTTCTGGCAGCGCCCTTTTACTCCTACTTAAGTAATATTTTTATTGAAGTAACAGTACTCTAAAGTAAAAGTTGTACTTCATCTTCCCACTGTGAGTGAGTCTAAAGAGACAGAAGCTTTATGTAAATATGAACATTTGTGTTTCTTGCAGCGCTAGACTAGAGGAAGAGAGAACCTCAGAGAGCAGCTTTTCACAGACACGTGTGAGGCTCTGGTCGAGGCACTAAACTCTCTCCTGTTACCCTCCACCTGTGCTTCACTTCCTGTACAGATCTGGAGACAACTCAGCTCAGGAAAACACTTCTGTCGCTCTGTCTGCTCAGTCTGGTGTAACTTCAGTAAAATTTTTGGCTGCTCTACCCACCTCTGACAGTAGGCCTAGTAAAAACAACTGCAGCAGTAATTAAACTGTAGTAAAATAGTAAAAAAGTAGAATCAGTAAATCAAAGTGTTACTTACGAGTCATGGGCCTTTTGGCTGAAACTGAAACAAAAAAAATGTAAGTTTAAAGTTTGAAGTTTGTACAAAATGAGAAGCTCATGACTCGATGTTGTGTTACCTCCAAATCTCCAGTACAAAGACGACGGCGAGGTGACCAGAGCGACAGCGAGAGGAACCAACACAGAGACGACAACTGTGGGCGTCTCCTCTGTAACAGACAGGGGGCAGCACAACAACAGGTGAGTCATGTTAACAGCGCACTCAGGTACAACAGGTGAGTGTGTGTGTGTGTGTGTGTTGCAGTGTTATATTTAGTCTTCTTGACATATTTGCTGTATTTATGTGTCATTTCTTTATTCATTTGTAAATGTTAATCTCTGTTGTATTTGTCCTTTTAGGAAACAGGATTCTGTGTGTGGATCTGCTTTTAAAAAAACAAGCTCAAAGTCTGAAGCTCTGGGAATTCACAGGAGCCTGTTGAGTTAGATTGGAAAATATATATATAAGTGTTTTTTTCCAATTAAGTGAATTTGGTTTTAGAGGATAACAAATAAACTCAAATGTTATTTTAATGACTCAGACTTAAACAGTGAAAACTCGACTGTGACTCAGACTCAACAGATTGTGGCTGAACTAGTGTCTGACTGATGTGGGGCTTTAGTTTCTACTTTAGTTTTAGTTCCTTTAGTCGACCACAGCCCCAAAGAGTCCAAACTGGAGACTCACCGTTGGTCAAGATCTTGGTCCGGTCCAGTCTGGTCACATAGTCGTCTTGGACCCCGGACAGTTGGAACACACAGTTGAACCTGTCCCAGTCCTCAGGGGGGACAGAGGACAGGTCCAGGGACACACTGGTCTGGAAGGTCCCGTCTCCGTTGGGCAGGATCTCTCCAGGGTCCACGTCCTCCGTCACCTCCACTCCGTCTTTGGTCCAGAACAGCATGGCTCTGTCGGGGTAGAAGCGTGTGGCGTGGCACGTGACTGGACCTGAGGAGGACTTCTGCAGCAGGGACACCAGGGGGAGCTCTACACACACCATCAACAGGTGTTAATATACAATTCTAATACAGACAAGACAAGAAGCAAGTGAAAACACAAAATGAAAATCTTCTGAGCTCCTCAAATGCAGGACAGTGTCACTCAAACATGAATCACTCACAAGACAAATGTACGAGGTCAAGATGAGAAAACTGCCCAAACTCATAAAAGTCCATTTGGTGACAGAAACCTGTGTCACCAACAACAGACAACACTGTGTTAAGATAATTATTTTTACAAATTATAAGGTTACAGATTATTTCTGTGTAAGTGACATTTTTAAGTGTGTAAAATGTACCAGTTTTTCTTTTTTAAAACACCACTTGTGAAAAGTTAATATGAAACGAATCTATTTTAATCTAAAAGGTGAAAATGTCAAATGTCACATGAACAAGTTTCCTTCCACTAAATAAGCAACAAATAAAATGCTACAGGACATTAAAAACACTCTTGGTGATATATAGACACTTGTAGATACAGAACATGGATACTGTATCACGATTCTTGATATATCAATATTTTTGTATATTCCCACTCACATCATTTATACCAGACAATCTGGGTGAAGAATTTACAAAATACAAAAGTACAAACTGGTTTGAGCAGGAATCATTCTTCACCCACTGAGGCCAGTGCTGGGAGAATGGTGTTATGTATTAACTTCTTTTGAGATTTATTTCCACAGTTAAGTTATGAAGAAAACAGAATTATCTAAATGATTTGTGTCAGTTGTTACCTGTTCTCTTCAGAACGTGTGCTCCGTTGTGCACATGTTTCTTCAGATACTCAACACATTGATGAGTGATGTAGTTTTTCTGATGGCCACCATATCCCATCTTCTCCCAGTTCAGTTTGGTGATAAAGGCCTGTTGTTTTGGAGCCACAAATGTCTCAGTCTCAAGGTCAAAAGCTATAAAATCTTCTCCATCAAAAGCGTATTGATCATATCCTCTGATCTCATTTGTCTCATCGTCCCAGTCACAGCCGTACATGTTCTGCCAAAGATGGACACCTGAAACACACAGATCAGAGTTAAAGCTGATCACAACTCTGTGCTTCATTTGAATGTTGAATAGAAATTATTTTNTCACGATTCTTGATATATCAATATTTTTGTATATTCCCACTCACATCATTTATACCAGACAATCTGGGTGAAGAATTTACAAAATACAAAAGTACAAACTGGTTTGAGCAGGAATCATTCTTCACCCACTGAGGCCAGTGCTGGGAGAGTGGTGTTATGTATTAACTTCTTTGAGATTTATTTCCACAGTAAAGTTATGAAGAAAACAGAATTGTCTAAATGATTTGTGTCAGTTGTTACCTGTTCTCCTTCAGAACGTGCTCTCCGTTGTGCACATGTTTCTTCAGATACTCAACACATTCATTAATGATGTAGTTTTTCTGATGGCCACCATATCCCATCTTCTCCCAGTTCAGTTTGGTGATAAAGGCCTGTTGTTTTGGAGCCACAAATGTCTCAGTCTCAAAGTCAAAAGCTATAAAATCTTCTCCATCAAAAGCGTATTGATCATATCCTCTGATCTCATTTGTCTCATCGTCCCAGTCACAGCCGTACATGTTCTGCCAAAGATGGACACCTGAAACACACAGATCAGAGTTAAAGCTGATCACAACTCTGTGCTTCATTTGAATGTTGAATAGAAATTATTTTGAGTGAACTCTGGTCACATTTAGAAACACTGGAGGAGGACGTCAAATGTAAATAATTTTCCCACTATAACCTCTAACTCATAACATCAGATACATAAAATAACCCACAGAACTAAAATAATTGTTCCAATCCTTATTAAATAGCGGAGCTGTCGAAATTGTGTTAAATATGTGGCCCAAAACCGTTTTAGGCTTGACTGACGTTTTGTGTCAAATGGAGTGGCTGATTTTTCACTTCAAGAATGTTTATCACAATTGTTGTTCTGAAGATCTGTAAAATCTATGAATACAACTACAAACAATTACAAAAGAGTGAAAAGAGAATTGCGTAAGAATAAAATGAGCAGAATGGTCCAGGGTAATCTCCCAAACAAGTGTTTACAGTCACATTTCTGCTCTTTTGCTCTTCTTTATTTCTTTTTCAGAACATTTACAGGAATGTTTTAATCACTCCTTTTTAAAAACACAATCCTGCTGCACTGATAAAGAATCATCTGAATATTGTGATCCAAAAAAAAAAAAAAAAAGCCAGAGACACAAATAAAAATCATTATATTCTCTTTGTCAGTGTGTCCCGCTCGTGTGTGTACTGTACATGACACAAACCTTCAGTCACATTTAGACGCTGCTTTACAGTCTCCATGGTGACTTTCTCTGTCTGCTGATTCTCCAAACTGATTTGTGTGTTCGTAAACCAGTACTGAGGCTCCTCCTCTGTGATTTTATTCATCCACTCCTGTTTGGGGACATATTTCCTGGTGTTACTGTCGTAGTGAGTGATCTGAAGATCGTCCACATATCCAACAGAAACAAACTCCGGGAAGTTTGGGACTTGAGACGAAAAAGTGTGAAAATATTTCAGCATGTGGACCACTGTAAAAATAAAAGAAAAAACAAAAATTAAACATTTAAACATATCACAACATTCAAGTTACACATAATTAAAAATATCCATTTGATTTTATTTATTTATTTTTTATTAGTCTAGTCTAGTCCCCATCACAGTCAGGAGTGATAATGTGGCCTCCAGAGAAAAGAGTTTAGTGGCCCCTGATATAAAGGGACAGAGGAGCTCATTCTCCCACAGGCTCCTGCAGCTTCACTCAGTGAGACACAGAAAAACATTCAAACTAATGTCCATACAAATGTACAACACCACAAAAAAACTTGTCCAAACGAAGATATAAACACTTAAATCTATCAGAAAATGACTTAAAAGTAGAGAAATGATGTGTCCATGCAGTAAAATCATTTTACTGTGACAAGTTTTCTTAAAATAAACTACCTCTAGACAAGAATGAAACATCTTAGAACGAGTAAATCGAAAATAAATCTGAAAACGATAAATAATCTGATCTAAATTTTAAAATCATGTCCAGATCAGAGAAATTTGCAGTGAACAACTCACAGTTATGTAACAAAAACCCTGTGTCCTGTCAATCATCATGTCAGTGTTGCTTGTTCTTCCTGTGACCTCTTGTATAAAGCCGAGAGTTTAAATATTATTTATTACTTACTTTTCTATTTTATTTTGACTTGTACATTTACATTTATATAATTATGTCTTATTTGACACCTGACTCTTCCTCTTTTTTCTACTTATTCAGAATTGCTTATCACCATTTCTATTTTTTCTCTTTGTTATTATATTTATTGTGATGTGTGAGTCCTGTGTCCAAATCATTTCCCTTGTGGATCAATAAAGTTTGATTAATTATAATTAAAAACAAACAAAAAAAAACAAAAAAAAAAACAAAAAAAAACATTCTTAAAAAAATCAAAACATTCAAGTTTCACATTATTAAAAATATCCCTTGATTTTATTTTTTTTTTAATTAGTCAAGTCTACATATAATTAACAAAGTGATGGGCATTCGTAAAATTTTCTTAATCGACGTCGGAAGAATTAAGATCGATTAGCGATTAATCATTAAAATTTATATTAAAATTATCATCATTATATACTATCTGCACTAATCTGCATCAATAAAATTCAACTTTACGACATATAAACATAACGACTCTAGAGCCACATCAGCTGTTTGACATTATAATGTGTTTAATTCAGTTTTGTTCAAAATCTCACAGAAACAAAACTTAAAACCACATCACTAATTTACATAAACTAAGTGAAGATAAAACTCCAGCTCTTGTGTCGCTGATGTGGTTTCAATTTGTGTTGGATTAAAAGACATGACTCAGGTGAATACAGGTCAGTGTGACCAGATTTGTGTTTGTCAAAACCAGGACAGCGTACGGGGGAGGGGGCGGGGCCTCGTCATCCACATTGAGCGACTCACCTGGAAAAACTTTTTCCCACTGACACAGAAACATATGTGCTGCTTTATACACTGTGCACATGGACAAGTCATCGTTGACATCGTTCGCACAGCAACCTACATTCGGTTTGTCGATTAAAATGAACGTAATCGATGAAATTCTTAATGATTAATTATCGATTAATCGACTAATCATGCCCATCCCTACTAACAACAAAGTATATTACCATATAAAAAGCTGTCAATTTCACTAAAATACGTAAAATCCTGGACAATGTTGTGAACAATGAAAAAGCAACTTCCGCTCGAATATTTAATGTTCAAAACTAAAAATGGCGTCGTAATGTTAACAGGCATCAAATAAAGAGCGACAAACAACAGCTTTAGACACGTTTACTAATTTTAAAATTATCACTCGTGCTACAACCTGGAACAAACATCTCTCCTGTCAAGGTTAATGTCAAAATTGTGCACTGTCCCCGTCTCTAAATAAATAAATAAATAAATACATAAATAAATTGATGAGAATAAACAGTGTTGGGAAGTTTACTTTTAAAACATATTCCCCTAAAGATTACAGATTACACACACCAAAATGTAGTTTGTAACGTAATCCATTAAATTACTCGAGGTGAGTAGCGTAATCTGATTACTTTGGATTATTTGATTTGCTGTAGAGAAGCAAAGACGAGGAAATCGTAACAAAAGCTATTTTGTCTGCTAAAAGAAAATGAAAAGGCCGAGTCTTTACTGAACCGTATTAAAAATATTATTGATAGAAGACGAGGAAACACGGTCCACACAGCATGGTCCTGTTAAATCCTGTTTTAAACCTGGTTTATCCTGGTTTAGACCTGGTTTAGTCCTGGGTTTAGACCTGGTTTAGTCCTGGTTTAGACCTGGTTTAGACCTGGTTTAATCCTGTTTTAGACCTGGTTTATCCTGGTTTTAGTTTCCTGGTTTAGACCTGGTTTAGTCCTGGTTTAGTCCTGGTTTAGACCTGGTTTACCTGGTTTAATCCTGGTTTAGTCCTGGTTTAGTCCTGGTTTCAGAATCCTGGTTTATCCTGTTTAATCCTGGTTTAGTGCTGTTTAGACCTGGTTTAGTCCTGGTTTAATCTTTTAGTCTGGTTTTAGTCCTGTTTTAGTCCTGGTTTAGTCCTGGTTTAGACCCCTGGTTAAGACCTTTTAGTCCTGGTTTTAGCCTGGTTTAGTTTGGTTTTTTCCTGGTTTTAGACCTGGTTTTAGTCCTGATTTAGTTGTGGTTTAGTGTCCGTCAATGAGTGAAGTTACCGAGAAAAACAAACAAAAAAAAAAAAAAAAAAAACGGGATATAGCCCCAAATGTGAAAACAGGAAAACACCTCTGTGTAATCCATTTATTCCAACAAAGTAACTGTAATCCAATTACCACTCACTGAAACAGTAACTGTAACTGAATACAGTTACTCATCATTTGTACTCTGATTACTCCGGTACATGTAATCTGTTACTGCCCAACACTGAGAATGATGCATCTCAGAATGGGTAAATCGATAATAAATTTGAAAACAAGATAAATAATCTGATTTAAGTTTTAAAATCTTGTCCAAATCAGAGAAATTTGCAGTGAACAACTCACAGTTATGTAACAAAAACCCTGTGTCCTGTCAATCATCAGATTGTGTCCAAATCATTTCCCCTTGTGATCAATAAAGATGATTAATTATAATAAAAAAAAAAAATAAAATAAAATAAATAAAATAAATCACTACATTCAAGTTTCACATAATTAAAAATATCCATCAATTAAAAAAAAATAAAAAATAAAGTCTACATATAATTAACAACAAAGCAGATTACCACATAAAAAGCTGTCAGTTAAACTAAAAATACGCAAAATCCTGGACAATGTTGTAAACAACGACTCGACTCGCACCCTGACGCAGTTTTAATGTTCAAATTTAAAATGGCGTCGTAATGTTAACAGGCATCAAATAAAGAGCGACAACAACAGTGAGCTAAAACATGTCCTTAATCACCTTAAAACTGAAATCAAACTTTATTTAAATCTACAATTAAAGTAAACACATTAAAAATATTATGTTGGCTACTCTTTGTTTTCAGTGCCGTCGAGAAATAAACTGTCAGACCGCGTTTTTATCGATAAACTTTAGACACGTTTACTAATTAAAAAACGTAATTAAAACTCACTGGCTGTGGCTCGGTGTAGCTGTATCCCCTGGAGCAGGAGGAAGAGCAGTGTACACGACTTCATGTTGTTTTTTGAGTTAGTTTGAGATATTTTGTACATTTCACTCTGCTTCGTCTTCGTACGTGCACCACTGTCCGTGTTTCTCAGACGCGTCGTGTTTTTGAACCAATCAGAAAATAGGATCGAGAGACAGTATCACGTGTTGCTAGGCAGAAGAGGCTGGAAAAGATGTGTTGTGGCGCAGTAAACGTGAAAGTGAAAGTAAAAAAAAATAAGACCCCACCTTGGATAAAATCAGCGCACACGTTAAGAAAGTCACGCTAATGCTGTAGAAATACGACGTTATTTTTGTAAACTTTAATGATCGACTGTGAGCTGGAGACATTTATCACGGTGACAACAAAACAACAACTCACCCACTGAGGGACAGATAATACTCCCTACAACTGTACAACAACAACTCACCCACTACACCAGACTATAGAGGGACATATAATACTCCCTACAACTGTACAACAACAACTCACCCACTACACCAGACTATAGAGGGACATATAATACTCCCTACAACTGTACAAATGACTTAAAAGTAGAGAAATGATGTGTCCATGCAGAAAGATCATTTTACTGGACAAGTCTCTTATGGGCTGGACTCCTCATAATCTGCTTCTGTGCTGATGAACTTCTCCCACCGATGCCTCGCGGGGACCAGGTTGACGTCTCTGATTGCGCTCGTTAGTTTTGGATGAATCTGAAGACGGAGCGTCACAGGTAAATATTGTGTAAATGAGCTCGTGGGTGTGATGGAGCTGCTCAGGTGTTCTGCCGTGTGCTGTAGGACTGACATCTGTGTTCATGTGACCGCAGCCTTTTATCTAATTGTAGTTTTGCTGACGTTGTTGTGGCTGGGTGTGAGCGGTGGATCAGGTCGTGTGTTGTGCTCAACCAGTGGTGACCAAAATGACTGTCTGTTTCTGGCATTTGTTATTATACTATATATAATACATATGGACCCGGTCAAGCAGAAGTAAACAACAAGGTCAAAAACTCAAGTGAATTCATCTGATATAAAAATGTATTGAACAGATACATATGTACTCTAGTTTATCAAACTGTTGACCTTTTTTCTGTTCCATTTTTGGTTCTAAAGTTCCATCTGTTTTAAACAGACCATGTATGAAACATGGAACAAAAATTATTTCCCAAATTTCAAAGACCTGCAAATGCAAATCATGTAAATAAATGGATGTATTTCATCATATCTTGTGTTATTCCATCTTTGAACTGTTGATGGACAGGATAAAAAAAAAAAAATATTAAAATTATAAAAATGTTCTTGGAAGGACTGACATATTTTATAGAAATAGTTTCTTTCATTTTGAAGTAATATTAAAGTATTCAGAAGAAAAAAGCATCAAATGATGTAAAATCCTGCACCTTCTACTTGTTTGTACAATTTTCCCTCCGTTACTTTTCCCTCCGTTACCATGACCTTTCTTAATAAAAAATCTCATGAGTCAAAAAGTAAGATTTTTTTCAACCTAATCTTGTACCATATGGTAGAAAACTATATGAAGCAAATATTCAAACCAGTTTGTTAAGGATATGGAAGTGAGAACCAAGAGTTATCACAAAAAGTGCTGCATATTTCATTCCCTCCGTTACCGACATGAGTTTTTACATTTTGTGTCTTGAACTTGAAAGAATCTCACAGGTTTAACTTGACCCTGTTGGAGTGTAACTCTTTCCTACATTCTGATACTTTACTTATTTCAATAGTTCCTCTAGTTTCTGAATAAGAGACATTTGAATGTCAAAAATCTGACCCTGTTTCCCTCCGTTAACACTTGACCGGAACCCATATATTTTACATAATATATATTTATAATTTTGGGCTGAATTATACCACCAGCCGCCACAGCAATTTAGAACTGAATTGATTATCATCATTTATATTTTTTCTCTTTGTTATTATAATGTATTATGATGTGTGACTCCTGTTTCCAAATAATTTTGCTTATGGATCAATAAAGTTTGATTAATTATAATTAAATAAAAAATTTAATGAAAATATAATTTAGTCAAGTCTACATATAATTAACAACAAAGTAGATTACCACATAAAAAGCTGTTCAATTTAACTAAAAATCCTGTACAATGTTGTGAACAAGGAAGAGCAACTTCCGTTCGTATCTGTCAGTTTAATTTTCAAAACTAAAATGGTGTCGTAATGTTAACAGGCAACAAATAAAGAGCGACAACAACAGTGAGCTAAAACATGTCCTTAATCACCTTAAAACTGACATCAAACTTTATTTAAATCTACAATTAAAGTAAACACATTAAAAATATTATGTTAGCTACTCTTTGTTTTCAGTGCCGTCGAGAAATAAACTCCAGGAAATAAACTGTCAGACTGCGTTTTTATCCATAAACTTTAGACACGTTTACTAAATAAAAAAACATCACTAAAACTCACTGGCTGTGGCTCCGTGTGGCTGTATCCCCTGGAGCAGGAGCAGCGTACACGACTTCATGTTGAAAATGTTTCTTCTTTATTTCCATGATTCTTCACACTGTAGATGTTCACTGAAGACTTCAAAACTATAAATGACACATGAGGAATGGAGGGAACAAAAAATGAACTCAGAACGATCCAAACTTGTTTCAGATTTTAAAAAGAGCCTTCACCCTTTTGGCACTTTCTGACCCTGAGGCACAGCTGTGAAGAGAAAACCATTTCAGAGACAAAGGACAATGAGGATTTGAACAGGAAATATATTTAGTTATTTGAGTTTGGTTCATAATTCCATATATATTACTTCTCATGTGTTCTTCTGTCTGAATCTGAAATGTGGAAAGTGGTAAACAAAGAAAATAAACATTAAATGGGAGGTTGTGTCCAAACTTTTGACTGGTCGTGTAGTTTCACTCTCATCTACCTGCTATTTTCACTTTAAAACTTTTGAATCATTTCAAAGCCACAAGTCACTGTCAGAGTTCATTTGTCCAGGTTAAAGCTGAGCTGCTGTGATTTATGTAAAAAGAAAAAAGAGAAAAAAAAATTGACCAGTTTGTTTGGTTTTGAAGGTTTAGGCCCAGTCTCCTGCAGAGACACAAACACTGAGTCTGTGCAGAACTCACCACAAGAGGGCGCTGTATGGCACAACTTTAAAAAAGGATCGTTCTACTGTGTCTGTGATGAAAAGTGAACAAACAACACTTTAAACAAACTTTAGTCTATTTTCATTTATTTGTAAATACAATTTACAAAAAAATAAATGAAAAAGTAACCGTTTATAAAATGTACCATAAATACCCAAAAACCTTATAAAAGTAAAATTTGACCCATACAGTACAAATAACTTTGCCTGAGAACACATTTTGAACCAGTTTTTAAACCTACAGAATCATTTAACCCTCTTACTCCCCTACGTACATTTTTGTTCATCTCAACTTTTCTTTTTTGCATAACTTTGGCATTATTGCACCAAATAGCACCAAAATTGGTCAGTTTGTGTATTTTGTGGTGTATTTTTAATTTCTGTGTTTTTTTCAAGATCATATTAATTTTCTGGTCTATAATCAAAATACTCACACCTGTGCTCCTTCGGTACATTTTTGTCCCATTGACTTCCATTTAAAATGGCTTTTTTCACTGGCAAAACTTTGCCAGTGAATTTTACTTTTTGATTTATTTTCCATTCTTTGATGTTGAAAACCCTTCAAAATTGTTGTAGTGTCTTTTTTCATATTTTTCTTTTTACTGTGTATCTTCCATTGAAGGTTTTATCAATATAAAGACTTTTGTACACATTAGTTCACACTGAAGGCCAGAGATGTAGATAAGAGGTTAAAATGAGATGATGTTCCAGAGGAGTCCTAGAGCAGTGTGTGTGTGTGTGTGTCTGTGTGATTGTTTACGCCTCCAGTGATAAACACTGAAAATGTTTTTTTTTTTTAAAAAGCAGAGTAACTGCAATTTTACTTCACTTAATTACTTGTTTTTCTCCTGTCAGTGTGTTCAGATCTGTTCAAAATTGTTATATTTGAGTGTTTTTTGGAGGTTTGGAGATTTCTTTTCTATGATTTTTAGTTCCACCATTTCAAGCATGATCATAATATTTACATTTTCTGTCATTTTTACACAATGCAAATATGACCCCCCTTCACCCCCCCACACAGACCCATGTATGTGAATACACACACACACAATCTCCCGACAACCCCCAGTACCCCCACACACTCCCACAACCCACCCCAGGCAAGTATATGCCCCCAGAACCCTCCTGTACACAATCCCTGAGAAATCCCATAGAACTCCACAGGGAATCACAGGAAAACTCCAGCTGTGTTTACAGGCCTGCACAAGGTGGGATGGGGTGAGTTTCAACTGTGAAAATCACAAATTTTACCTTTTCTTAACAGGAGAAACCTGTACAAATCCACAATTTATGATTTTCTAGTGTTACATCAGTGCAACCAAAAAATGTGTGGTTATAATGGAAGTCAATGGGGCTTTAGGGGAAAACAGAATTTTGTGCAAAAACTCTTTCATGCACAAAATATGTGCTTGGTTTAAAATGTCAAAATATTATAGAATATTTGGTGTGTATGATTCAGGCAGAAGTAAATTAAATAAAGACACTGATATAAAAAAGTTGGACAAAAATCTGTACTGCATAAAAATATTGTGGTATTCTTTTTCGATGTACATTTTTGTCACGAAGGACACAGGTGTAACTATTTTTAAAGGGGTGCACGAGGGTTAAAGAGCTGAGCTGCAACAAACAGAACATGATTCAAAATGATTTTGTGGTTAAATTTTCATTCTATAACATAAAAACACACCTAAAAATGATAAAGTACAGCACTTGAATACTTCATTACATTCCACCACTGGCTGCAGAAGACAGGACAGGAGTGGTCTGACTAACCTCCGAGTCCTCCGAGTCTCCGAGTACTCCGAGTACTCCGAGTACTCCGAGTACTCCGAGTACTCTGTTCATGCAGTCCTCAGACTTGTAAATGTCTCTGTCTTAATGCTAAGTATGTAAAGTGCTTTGAGCATTAAGCCATGTTCAGGCCAAACGTGAATGGTGCAAATAAATCACGTCCAAGTTTGCCGCTTGACTTTTTTCAGTCACTCACTTCATCTGTGCGTCCAGGTTGCTCGAGTAAATCCGTTCTATTCGCTCCAGAAGGATCGCCAGCTGCGCAGTTCCTCTGCATCTGGTTTCGTTTGAAAAAATGGCAGAATTGGACTGCATCGAGCAGACTGACCAGACCGGGACCAGACCTGAGACTGAGACTGGCACCGGGCCAGTTTAGTCCTGGTTCATATTATTCAGACTAATAAAACACAATCGTTCAACTCCTTCAAAGTGGATTTTTTTTGTCGTTTTGTCCAAATGTCTGTGAAGGAAACAAAAGAATGTTACATGTCAGAAGAACAAAAGTGAGTTTGTAAGAACTCCACTCTGTTTTCCTCTGTTATACACGTCACACTTCTGTCCTCAGTCACTCTGGTGGACACACTCTCCTCTGTCCTGGCTGCCGACCAAGCGAGTGAGTGAGACACATATAACACAAACACAGAGGGAAGGGTAGTGCTCACTGGCACAAAGGCAGAGATCACACTACAAACCTTTAGGTCATTTTGAGCTCTTGTTCCTCTATTTGATCAACACTTCTATGGAGTCTTCCTTTGTCTCAATCGGAGCTACAACACAAAAGTATTACAACTTTACAAACTATTTCACCCACAACAGATTCTACTGAGATTTAACAGATCCTCAATAAATATTTGAAAAATAAGATTCAAATATATGCAAAAATTATTCTGTTTCTTATTACTTTATCTGTAAAATACTTCTGAATAAGTCATTACAAGAATCATGATTTTCTGAGATTTGAGGAGGAGGAGGAAGAGACTAGAGGAAAAGAGGAACTCAGAGCAGCTTTTTAAAGTCTCTCCTGCCTGTGCTTCATTTCCTGTACAAGTCTCAGGTCAAGAAAACACTTCTGTCGCTCTGTGTGAGTCCGAGTCCTCTACCCACCTCTGACAGTGGGCATAGTAAGAACAGCTGCAGCAGTAATTAAACAGTAGTAAAAAAGTAAATAGTGGCAGTAAATCAAAGTGTTACTTACGTGTTGGGGGCAGTTTGGCTGAAACAGAAACAAAAAACCTGTTAGTGTAAAAGTTTGAAGTTTGTCCAAAATGAGAAGCTCATGACTCGATGTTGTGTTACCTCTAAATTTCCTGATCAAGACGAAGGCGACAGCAAAGATCAGGATGAGGACGACAGCGACAGGAACCAACACAGAGACGAGATCTGTGGGCGTCTCCTCTGTGACAGACAGGGGGCAGCACCACAACAGGTGAGTCATGCTAACGGCGCACTCGGTACAACAGGTGATTCCTTAATTTATTTATGTCATTGGTTTATCTGGTTTTCTAAAATCTCACGACGAGTTTCTGCAATTTCACATTTTACTTCAAAACCAATGCGAGATTTATAGATTCAAAAGTTACAAAATCATAATTTTCATGTTTAAAATATAAAACATCCTGAGCTCAGTTTTGCTTCGATACAGAGGCGGGAAATTCTGGAGCCGTTTTCTCGTCAGGTCAGTGAAGCAGATCAGAGGGCGTCGTTTTAAAAGGTTTGAGGAAATGTTTGATATTTCATGGTGATTGATAATCGTTCAGTTGTGGATGTTTCATTGTGTTTAAATCCATGTTTGAATCAAATGAATTAATCCCTGGTGTTTAAATTTAATTTTTATCATCATTATTATTTTTTTTAATACACAGCGATAATGTTCAATTTTTAATGTTTTCATGAGGTGGAGGCTTTAATTGGGTTTTTTGCATCTTCTGGCTCTACTTTTATTTAGTGTTTTTTTTTATTTTATTTTTTTTATTATGCTATACATGCAAAATAAATAAATAAATAAATGGTCGACAGGTGGAGCCTTGAACGCAGCCTCTTCTCATTTTATAATTATCTGTACATACGGCTGCAGTTTTACAAGGTTCAAGGTTTGTGACGACTCATGGATCATTGTTATTATTTTATTATTTGTGATTATATGTTATTTGAAATCGCGATATTCATCTAAAAAATGTAATTAAAGGAATAGTTCGCAGACTAGCGCTTTACAAAGACGCCCAATGAGAGCTGAAGACATCATCATAAACAAAGTCGGTGTTAAGGAGCTGTCGGGGTCGGTGTGTAAATAGTCATAAAGAGGCTCTAAAGATTCAAACATGAACAAATCGCTCCAAATAAACAGAGACTCAGAACGGGGACAGCTAACATGAAAGTCAATTTTGCAGAATAGGAATCTTTTAACTATATTTATCTTCAGAAGGTTTGATTTGATGAAGCTGTTCCCCCGTTGTCAAGATCTTGGTCCGGTCCAGTCTGGTCACTAGTCGTCTTGGACCCCGACAGTTGGAACACACGTTGAACCTGTCCCAGTCTCAGGGGGACAGAGGACAGGTCAGGACACACTGGTCTGGAAGGTCCCGTCTCCGTTGGCAGGATCTCCCAGGTCCACGTCCTCCGTCACCTCCACCCGTCTTGGTCCAGAACAGCATGGCTCTGTCGGGGTAGAAGCGTGTGGCGTGGCACGTGACTGGACCTGAGGGACTTCTGCAGCAGGGACACCAGGGGGCTCTCACACACACCATCAACAGGTGTTAATATACAATTCTAATACAGACAAGACAAGAAGCAAGTGAAAACACAAAATGAAAATCTTCTGAGCTCCTCAAATGCAGGACAGTGTCACTCAAACATGAATCACTCACAAGACAAATGTACGAGGTCAAGATGAGCAAACTGTCCAAACTCATAAAAGTCCATTTGGCGAAATGTCACCAACAACAGACAACACTGTGTTAATAAATTATATTTACAAATTGTGTAAAATGTACCAGTTTTTCTTTTTAAAACACCACTTGTGAAAAGTTAATATGAAACGAATCTATTTTAATCTAAAAGGTGAAAATGTCAAACGTATCACATGAACAAGTTTCCTTCCACTAAATAAGCAACAAATAAAATGCTACAGGACATTAAAAACACTCTTGGTGATATAGACACTTGTAGATACAGAATATGGATACTGTATCACGATTCTTGATATATCAATATTTTTGTATGTTCCCACTCACATCATTTATACCAGACAATCTGGGTGAAGTGTTTACAAAATACAAAAGTACAAACTGGTTTGAGCAGGAATCATTCTTCACCCACTGAGGCCAGTGCTGGGAGAATGGTGTTATGTATTAACTTCTTTGAGATTTATTTCCACAGTAAAGTTATGAAGAAAACAGAATTGTCTAAATGATTTGTGTCAGTTGTTACCTGTTCTCTTCAGAGCGTTCTCTCCGTTGTGCACATGTATCTTCAGATACTCAACACATTCATTAATGATGTAGTTTTTCTGATGGCGACCATATCCATTCCTCTCCCAGTTCAGTTTGGTGATAAAGGCCTGTTGTTTTGGAGCCACAAATGTCTCAGTCTCGAAGTCTAAAGCTATAAAATCTTCTCCATCAAAAGCGTATTGATCATATCCTATGATTCATCTGTCCTCATCGTCCCACCACAGCCGTACATGTTCTGCCA